TAACCCCATAACTTCTGGGAGAAGAAGAGAAGAGGAAGAGAAGAAGAAGAAGCAGAAGGGAGAAGAAGAAGAAGCAGCAGAAGGGAGAAGAAGAAGAAGAAGGGAGAAGAAGAAGAAGAAGGGAGAAGAAGAAGGGAGAAGAAGAAGAAGAAGGGAGAAGAAGAAGAAAGAAGGGAGAAGAAGAAGAAGGGAGAAGAAGAAGAAGAAGGGAGAAGAAGAAGAAGCAGAAGGGAGAAGAAGAAGAAGCAGAAGGGAGAAGAAGAAGAAGGGAGAAGGGAGAAGAAGAAGGGAGAAGGGAGAAGAAGAAGAAGAAGAAGGGAGAAGAAGAAGAAGAAGAAGAAGAAGGGAGAAGAAGAAGAAGAAGGGAGAAGGGAGAAGAAGAAGAAGAAGAAGAAGAAGAAAGAAGAAAGAAGAAGAAGAAGAAGGGAGAAGAAGAAGAAGAAGAAGGGAGAAGGAGAAGAAGAAGAAGGGAGAAGGAGAAGAAGAAGAAGGGAGAAGGAGAAGAAGAGAAGGGAGAAGGAGAAGAAGAAGAAGGGAGAAGGAGAAGAAGAAGAAGGGAGGAGGAGAAGAAGAAGAAGGGAGGAGGAGAAGAAGAAGAAGGGAGGAGAAGGAGAAGAAGAAGGGAGGAGAAGGAGAAGAAGAAGGGAGGAGAAGGAGAAGAAGAAGGGAGGAGAAGGAGAAGAAGAAGGGAGGAGAAGGAGAAGAAGAAGGGAGGAGAAGGAGAAGAAGGGAGGAGAAGGAGAAGAAGGGAGGAGAAGGAAAAGAAGGGAGGAGAAGGAGAAGAAGGGAGGAGAAGAAAAAGAAGGGAGGAGAAGGAGAAGAAGGGAGGAGAAGAAGAAGAAGGGAGGAGAAGAAAAAGAAGGGAGGAGAAGAAAAAGAAGAGGGAGGAGAAGAAAAAGAAGGGAGGAGAAGAAAAAAAAGGGAGGAGAAGAAAAAAAAAGGGAGGAGAAGAAAAAGAAGGGAGGAGAAGAAAAAGAAGGGAGGAGAAGAAAAAGAAGGGAGGAGAAGAAAAAGAAGGGAGGAGAAGAAAAAGAAGGGAGGAGAAGAAAAAGAAGGGAGGAGAAGAAAAAGAAGGGAGGAGAAGAAAAAGAAGGGAGGAGAAGAAAAAGAAGGGAGGAGAAGAAAAAGAAGGGAGGAGAAGAAAAAGAAGGGAGGAGAAGAAAAAGAAGGGAGGAGAAGAAAAAGAAGGGAGGAGAAAAAGAAGGGAGAAGAAAAAGAAGGGAGAAGAAAAAGAAGGGAGAAGAGGAAGAAGGGAAGAGAAGAAGAACTCCAGTCCTCTATTATATTTTATATGAAAAAGTCTTGCAGTTGCAACAAATGTATCCATTTGTATCCAAATAAAGAAGAAGGGAGAAGAAGCAGAAGGGAGAAGAGGAAGGAAGAAGCAGAAGGGAGAAGAGGAAGGAAGAAGCAGAAGGGAGAAGAAGAAGAAGAAGCAGAAGGGAGAAGAAGAAGAAGAAGCAGAAGGGAGAAGAAGAAGAAGAAGCAGAAGGGAGAAGAAGAAGAAAGAAGCAGAAGGGAGAAGAAGAAGAAGAAGCAGAAGGGAGAAGAAGAAGAAGAAGCAGAAGGGAGAAGAAGAAGAAGAAGCAGAAGGGAGAAGAAGAAGAAGAAGAAGGGAGAAGAAGAAGAAGGGAGAAGAAGAAGAAGAAGAAGGGAGAAGAAGAAGAAGAAGAAGGGAGAAGAAGAAGAAGAAGAGAGGGAGAAGAAGAAGAAGAAGAGAGAAGGGAGAAGAAGAAGAAGGGAGAAGAAGAAGAAGAAGAAGGGAGAAGAAGGGAGAAGAAGAAGAAGAAGAAGGGAGAAGAAGGGAGAAGGGAGAAGAAGGGAGAAGAGAGAAGAAAGAAGAAGGGAGAAGAAAAAGAAGAAGGGAGAAGAAAAAGAAGAAGGGAGAAGAAGAGGAAGAAGGGAGAAGAAGAGGAAGAAGGGAGAAGAAGAGGAAGAAGGGAGAAGAAGAGGAAGAAGGGAGAAGAAGAGGAAGAAGGGAGAAGAAAGAGGAAGAAGGGAGAAGAAGAGGAAGAAGGGAGAAGAAGAGGAAGAAGGGAGAAGAAGAGGAAGAAGGGAGAAGAAGAGGAAGAAGGGAGAAGAAGAGGAAGAAGGGAGAAGAAGAGGAAGAAGGGAGAAGAAGAGGAAGAAGGGAGAAGAAGAGGAAGAAGGGAGAAGAAGAGGAAGAAGGGAGAGGAAGAAGGAAGAAGGAAGAAGGAAGAAGGGAGAAGGGAGAAGGGAGAAGAAGAAGAAGAAGAAGAAGGGAGAAGAAGAGGAAGAAGGGAGAAGAAGAAGAAGAAGAAGGGAGAAGAAGAAGAAGAAGAAGGGAGAAGAAGAGGAAGAAGGGAGAAGAAGAGGAAGAAGGGAGAAGAAGAGGAAGAAGGGAGAAGAAAAAGAAGAAGGGAGAAGAAAAAGAAGAAGGGAGAAGAAAAAGAAGAAGGGAGAAGAAAAAGAAGAAGGGAGAAGAAAAAGAAGAAGGGAGAAGAGGAAGAAGAATTCCAGTCCTCTATTATATTTTATATGAAAAAGTGTTGCGGTTGCAACAAATGTATCCATTTGTATCCAAATAAAAACATCTGTACCCAAATAATGTATTACAATGTTTTTATTTGGTACAGATGTTTTTATTTGGATACAAATGGATACATTTGTTGCAACCGCAAGACTTTTTCATATAAAATATAATAGAGGACTGGAATTCTTCTTATTATTTTTCTTCTTCTTGCAGGTCACGGCTCATGCACAGATTTTTTTAATCGGTAAAATCATCGGCCGATTTGCACATCAAAATCAGTCGATCGTCAAAATCGGCCGCAAATTTTCCAACATGCCCGATAAAAAGAAAATGTGCAAAAACCCAAAAAACGGCCGACCAATTAACCCACTAACAGTGCGAAAATCGGCAGATTTTTTTTTATCAGCTGAAAAATTGGCTGATTTTCAACCCATGACCGGCATAAGTCTCCTCTCGCATGACTAACCTACATATTGGCATGGATGTCACTCCACTTCCTCAAACTCAATCTTTCCAAAACTGAGCTCTTAATATTCCCCCCAGCCCGTGCCCCCTCCCCTGACTTCTCCATCAAGATCAATAATACAATCATCAGTCCCTCCCCTCATGCTAGGTTACTAGGTGTAATCCTAGACGCCATCTGTCCTTTCACCCCCAAATCCAATCGCTGTCCAAATCTTGTAGACTTCACCTCCGCAACATCTCCAAGATACGCCCGATCCTAACCTCGGAAACCACTAAGCAACTTATTCACTCCCTTGTTATCTCTCGCCTTGACTATTGTAATTCCCTCCTCATTGGCCTACCGAATCGCAGGCTATCCCCTCTTCAGTCTATCATGAATGCTGCTGCCAGACTCATCATCACCTTACTAACCAATCTGTATCTGCCACCCCTCTCTGCCAATCCCTCCACTGCCTTCCCATTGCCCAACGGATAAAATTCAAAACATTAACAACAACATATAAAGCCATTTATAACTCTGCCCCAAATTACATCACCGATCTTGTCTCCAAATATCATCCAAACCGGACTCTCCGCTCCTCGCAACACCTCCTGCTCTCTAGCTCCCTTGTCTCCGCCTCCCCTCTAGCTCCCTTGTCTCCGCCTCCCCTCTAGCTCCCTTGTCTCCTCCTCCCCTCTAGCTCCCTTGTCTCCTCCTCCCCTCTAGCTCCCTTGTCTCCTCCTCCCCTCTAGCTCCCTTGTCTCCTCCTCCCATGCTCGTCTCCAGGACTTCTCCAGAGCTTCCCCCATCCTCTGGAACTCTTTACCCCAATCTATCAGACTATCGCCTACTCTGCCAACTTTTAGGTGATCTCTGAAAACCTATCTCTTCAGGGAAGCATATCCTGCCCTCAGCTAATACTGGAATCTTCTACTTTTCCAACCAGTCCACCCCCCACAGTTACTACCTTTTGTACCACTAGCCCCTCCCTCCTAGATTGTAAGCCCCAAGGAGCAAGGCCCTCCTTTCCCTCTTGTATTGAACTGTATTGTTGCTGTATTGTCTCCCATTATATTGTAAAGCGCTGAGCAAACTGTTGGCGCTATATAAATCCTGTATAATATGATGTAGCAAAAGGACAAAAATATTGTTTTTTTTCTCAAAACTGTCGGTTGTTTTTTATAGCGCAAATAAAAACTGCACAGGCGATCAAATACCACCGAAAGAAAGCTCTATTTGTGGGGAAAAAAAGGATCTAAATTTCATTTGGGTGCAGCATTACATGACCGCGCAATTGTCAGTTAAATTAATGCAGTGCCAGAACGCAAAGAATGTCCTGGCCAGGAAGCGGGTAAATTGTCAGGAGACAAGGGGTTCATCGGCGTCACGAGACAAGGGGTTCATCGGCGTCACGAGACAAGGGGTTCATCGGCGTCACGAGACAAGGGGTTCATCGGCGTCACGAGACAAGGGGTTCATCGGCGTCACGAGCTGTACAATGATACGTGTTCAGGATTCTAGGGATGAGGTGACACTCTAAGTCCAGTAAAAGTAATAGAGAAAGTGAGGGGTGAGTAGCTGAGCCTTCCATATCACACCATAGGACCACACTGAGGAGGACTCTTCTACATCACATGTACAATGTCACTGCTCACCTGTGGAGGGGGATGGGGTGCCCTCTGATGGAGATGAGGGGAGCGCTCCTCCACTTCAGGGCTGGGTAGCCCCAGCCGGCCCTCAGCAGGGAAGAGGCTCGGAGTAGGCTCGGTGACGCGGAGCTGTCAGTCTGAGCAGCCACCATGCAGACTGAACTTCTAGCAGTCTATGGACGGGCGCTGCCCGCTACACACCTGGCACACTGACTAATTACAACTCCACACACGGCTACTTCCGGCAACAACCCCTCCCCACGCCCTCCTCCAGCTGGCTCCGCCAATCACAACATGGCGCCGGTACGGAGCGCCGGGAGGGACACTTCCAGTCCCGCTCTGTGATTGGTCCTCCGCCCAGTGAGCGCTGTGTTCGTCTCCCGGGGTGTACATTCTACACTGGTGGTGACAGACGATGGCGACCAATCCGTGGCATCCCGTTCAGGCCCCTGCAGCGTCTTCCCTGATAGAGCGGTGTCTGGGGGCCGGAGTCCTGACACAGGTACCACACAGGAGGGGGCGCTGTACAGCTGAGCTCCACAGATCTTCCTGGAGGGATAGACATCCAGCTGGTGAGCGCCAAGTGCCATGGCAAGGCCAGATATTGGCGAACGAGACCCTCCTGTGGCTGAGTGTGGTGTGGGGGGGTCTAGCAGCAGAGCTTGTTGTGTCTGAAGATGTCGCAGCACGCCTTGCTGCCCTCTCCGGACTGGGGGGTCCCAATCACTCACTAAGGCTACTTGCACTCAGATCTGCGGAAAAAACGCATATGAATGTTTGCGACGGTTTTACCGCATTTACAGTGCGGCTTTAACATGACGTGACTCAAAAATGCACCACGTTGTCCATTGCGTTCAATTGGGAGGTGTGTTTTGTTTTTGTTTTTTTGTTTTTTTTTACTGCGCCAAAAATGCAGCAAGCAGAATTGTTACTGTGGGTTCACGCTGGGTGCGGGTGCAGGAATTGCACCTGTTTCTGCACCCAAACCGCACTGCTCTTGTAAGATGTACAGATCTGTCATTCATTCTGAATGGCACCCCCACACATCTCTGCCCACAGCGCGATTGCGGGAATCGCAGCCCCGATCCTCCTCTTCTCAGGTCCCCCACTAGTGCATCTGGCCCCTCCCTCCTGCCTCCAGCTTGCTTTGGGGACACCCAAGCAGGCTTGCTCCCCGAGCCACTGCTCTGCGGGGGCCAGTCACACACAGTCGGTATGACCCCTCTCTCTCTTCATTGGCTCACTGGCTGTGATTGACAGCAGTGAGAGCCATTGGCTGTCACAGCCAATGAGGAGGGAGAGTCCTTCATGCACAGAATACATGAAGGTGGAAAACCGTGAGCCTTTACAACCACTTTAACCACTTGCCTTCCTGAGGATTTACCCCCCTTCCTGACCAGGCTATTTTTTGCATTACATTAACTGACAATTGCACGGTCATGCAACGCTGCAACCAAATTAAATTGATGTCCTTTTTTCCCCCACAAATTGAGCTTTCTTTTTTGGTGGTATTTGATCGCCTGTGCGTTTTTTATTTTTTTGCTATAAAAAAAAAGCCCTACTGTTTGCCATTAAACATCTCCAGTAAACACATTTTAAAAATAAAATTTGACACCAGTACAATGATCAGTGCTAAAAAAAAATCATTGACTCTGTACTAATGGCACTGGGCAGGAAGGGGTTAACACGAGGGGCAATCAAAGGGTTAACTGTGTGCTGTTTTACTTGTGTCAGTGTGCAGGAGCTGACAGAGAGGAAAACTGTTTTGTTTTCTTCCCATCAGAGATGCTCGGCAATCAGGCACCAGCAAGTAATCACTAGCCGGGACCTGGTGATTGACAGCTGTGGCCACGAATGGCGGCGCGGGTAGGGCATGCACGCCTGCCTCGCCAGCGCCTCCTACCCAGAAATGCACAATCATGTATATATATGTGATTTTGCACACCCGTGCCGCCCTGTAGCAATATTTCTGCTATAGGGCGGTCGGGAAGCGGTTAAGAACAGTCCTGAGGAAGGGTGCTGTGATGTTTTCAGGAAGCTATGTACAGCATCCTGCGGGCCCCTCTCACCAGCCATGATCTGTCTCTATTACATAAGAAGAACAGAGACCCAGTGATGACATCTCTAAAATAAGGTATGTAAGTCTATATGTATGACCTGTCTGCAAGACCACAAGAAATTGGTCAGGTAAGGGTATAAATCTCACAAAAATCATGATTTTCTATTCCTTTTAAACATTTGTCACGCACATTATTGGAGACATAAAGTCATTCGTGTAGATTTGCTGCATCTCTTTTATAAACCAACAATTTTTATTGGTCAGTGAAGAACTGTGTTTTTAGTGGAAGAGAATTCATGTTAATGGTTGTTTATGCTGCATTAGTATAACACCATATATTATAAACCCATTATCTAGGACACACTGGACCAAGCTCGGGAAGAGACCTCAGTCTTTAGTCGTGTAGACGAGCTGGAGAAGATTTCTGCGCTCAAGGCTGAAATTAGAGAGGTGAATTACTGTTTCCTATTTATCTGGTGCTCTTCTGTTTGTGCTGCAGAATCATAAAAGTGGAAGTAAAGTCAAAAGCTAACAAACTCTATTCTCAGCCACATTCTAAGCCTACTCTATCTAGCTCTGTAAAGTAAAAATCGCTATTTTTACCTGTTCTGCAGTGGCGGTTGCTGTGTGCAGGAGAAAACTGACAACAGCTGGGAAGTGATGTCACCAATGAATTAATATGGGGCTTCCATTGTCTGCTGCCTCTTCTGCACACTCCCACACACTGAAGTCGCCACTGACAGCTGATGCTGGGGCCAGACCAGCGCAGCTGCAGAACAGGCAAGTATAGCGATTTTTGCTTTACAGGGCTAAATAGATTACTCTTAGAATGTGGCTGAGAGTCGGTTTATCTTTAGGTTTTGACTTTACTTCCACTTTAACCGCTTCTGCGCTGCCCTTTAGCAGAAATACTGCTACAGGGTGGCACGTTTGCGCAAAATCATGTATATATCCATGATTTTGCAGTTCCAAGTAGGGGGCGTGAGCATGCGGCCTACCTGCACCGCCATCCACGGCCTCGGCTGTCAATCACAGAGTCCCGGCGATCTCTGAGTATTTCCGACAGGGGAGAGACCTGTATGTAAACAATACATATCTCTCTCCTGTCAGCTCCTGCACACTGCTTTTTATGGCTCTGCATAGCAGAGCCATACAAAGCAGTGTGCTTACAGTGAAGTGAACACAGCCTCATACTAAAACTGCACACAGTTAACCCTTTGATCGCCCCACATGTTAACCCCTTCCTGCCCAGTGCCATTAGTACAATGTCAGTGCTTTTTGTTAGCACTGATCCTGTATTGGTTTCATTGGGGATTTCAGTGGCAGTTAGTCAGGTCATCCCCCCCCCCCCCCCCCCCCCCCCCCCCCCCCCCCCCCCCCCCCCCACCCCCCCCCCCCCCCCCCCCCCCCCAGTGTCAGAATGCCCATCGCAGTTCCGCCATTTGTAAACTCTATAACTTTCATGTAAACCAATGAATTCTCACATATTGGGATTTTTGTTAGCAAAGACATGTAGCAGAATACATTTTGGCCTAAATTTATGACGAAATTTGATTTTTTTTTTTACATTTTTTTACTGGACATGTTTAATAGCAAAAAGTCAAAAATATTGGGGTTTTTTTTTTTTGTGTTTTTTTTTCAAAATTGTCGGTCTTTTTTTGTTCATAGCGCAAAAAATAAAACTCGCACAGGCAATCAAATACCACCAAAAGAAAGCTCTATTTGTTGGGGAAAAAGAATATGCATTTCATTTGGTTGCAGTGTTGCATGACCACGCACTTGTTAGTAAAAGTAACGCAGCACCGTGTTGCAATACATGGCCTGGTCAGGAAGGGGGGTAAATCCTCAGGAGGGCAAGTGGTTATGGTGTATCCAAGAAAGAACAAAAACATAATGTATTAAAGCTTGCCAGTCCTTGGATGTGTTGCCGGCATTAGTTTCTTTTTTTTTCAGCCTTTGTATCCTTTGTGAACCTGCCAGAAACACATTTCTTGTCAAGGGCTAATGCTTACTTACTGTACTGTGTGTATGGAGGGGTGGAAATGTCCTGGAAGTATAGGAATACAGGACATCTCCCTCTCTTAGTTCCTCCATAACATAAGGGCAGGCCATTTGTAGTCCACAGTGGGAACATAGAACATTTTAGCTGATAATCTCCTGTGCTCTTTGCTGAGTGTCATCAGCTCATGTGATTTTCTGGCAGGATCAACAGGTATTTTGAACAACTATAACAAAGCACTTTAAAGTATATTAACAAGACTAAAATGGAACAAATAAAAAATGTTTCAATCATTGGGTTTACCTGTACATTAAACTAGTCTCTTCAGGGGTGGCCGCCTCCTCTTGTTTATCAAGAAAGGCGTTTTCTGCTACAATGTCTGAAATTATGTTGATACTTTTAGTTTCATTGGAGTCTTCGGACTGCAGGGGCCCCCCTCACCCTCTCCTTAAGAATCCACCTCTGATCTTCCGCAAGCTCAGTGTTTCTCAACTGCAGTCATGGACCCCCAACAGGTCATGTTTTCAGGATTTCCATTATTTTGCACAGGTGATTTGATCAGTTTCACTGCCTTAGTAATTACCACAGCTGTTTCATCTGAGGGAAATCCTGAAAACATGACCTGTTGGGGGTCCATGAGGACTGGAGTTGAGAAACACTGCGCTAGCTGTAGCTGTTTTTGCATATTCTGATAATTTTTTTTTTTTTTTAATTCCCTAAAGTTTTATTTTATGTAGTTTTGTTTTATTTTATTGTGTTTGGTGTTCTCTTTGGGAATATTTTCCCTTACTCCCTTTGGAATACAGGACAAGATAGAAGATCTTACTAGTGGGCTGACTGGCTATAATACACTTGTTCAGTAGAATGGAAAAGGGGTTAGAATCGCCCTCAGATTATAAATACTGTTTGCGTCTTACAGTTCCAGTGATAGCCCTTCCCTTCATTTCTTGTCCTGCTGCCACTGGAACAGGGAATGTGGTCAAATCTACCCAACAAGACATTAATAGCCGTCAAAGCTATTCCCAATTCTGTTAAAACAAAAAACTGTTTGGGCTGAATTTGGACTTTGCTGTAATATGAAGTAGCACACACCTCCTGCCCTTGCTTGAAAACGTCAGTCCTCAAAAAGCATTAGCCTGTCGGAGGTCTTATTGCCCTGTCATGCAACATGACGAATTGTGGATTGGACTGTGCTGTTTCTATATGATGAGCTTGTGACATTTACTATTTTGTGAGTATAATATTTACCACTTTTTAAACAAACAAAAAAAAAAAGATCTGGTTTAAGGATAATGCACTAGATTAGTGCGCCCTCTGTTTTGTTTTGTGGTTGCAACACACCTCATGTCCAAGATTTGTTTCTTAATGCCCTTGTCAGAGTTTTGTTGTGTTCCATGATTGTAGACCCTTCAGCATAACCCACTCCACAAAGTACAAAATATTCTGTCTCTGTCGTGACTATCTGCTGGAATTATAGTTTTTTTGAGAGGAACAGCATCATCTGCTCAGCATCTCTTTGCTGCCCCAAAAAAAAGGACTTGTTACAAGTATAAAAGTCAATGCATACAATATGTTTTCTTTAGGTATACCCTTGGGCCTCATGCACAATTGGCTCTAGCATAGAATGTTTTTCCCTGCCTGGGGAGACGCAGGTAGCGCATACAGCTGGCCATAGAAGTGAATGGCTGTACATGGCCGTACTAGGATATACTGATGTTTTTGTGCATCAACGTAAACATGCATATGACTTGAACCCCGAACATGGAGATTCTGTATTTGGGAAATATGTCATACTTACCATAACCATCCGTGTGCATGAGGCTGTAAAGAGACCCTGTCACCATGCCAATTCCAATAAACATTTCAAAATAAAATACATAAGCATATGTTAGGCTGCTTTTGTGTGCAATCCTTTGCCTTGCTGTGATGCTGTGTTTTACCACCTGTGGCTTTTGGTAGTTTCTGAGGCAATGTCCTAGGCTTTGTGATCCTTATACATGCAGGGGGTCACTTTTCTTTTCCTGACAGGAATGAGGGGGACCTTGCACAGTCTGCATTGGCAGGTTTGTATCAGACTTCCTTGGCCCTTGCTAGGACCTTTGCTAGTGTCAGGGTTGGGGATGGGGAACAGCTGCATGTATCGAAATTGCTGAGTCTTTTTTTATCAATGAATACATAAGCGGATGTATGAAATTTTATTATCTGTTTGCCTGGAGATTGGTCTTACTTTGTGTATAAACCTATACGGTCTCAGTGTTTTCTATCTGCCTTGCAGAAGAGTCTGGAGCTGGAATTGCTGAAGGCTGAGAAAGAGACTGCAGACATCACTCATCCATTTTTCCTCAGTAAGTCATCAGGTTGCTCTGATATTTTCTTTTTATCGAATTTGCCGTTCATTGTTTTAAACTGCCCATACATCTTTAAATCAGGCCTCCAAATATGTCTCCTTCTTGGCTATCAGCATCAAAGTTTGCAACAGTATAGCAAAAAGTCCTGTACACAGCTTCAAATTCCAATAATGTATTAATGTTCCGTAAAAAAACCGCTAAAAACAACAAGTCTTCTAATGCATTTCAGCCATGAGAGACTTTAATGATAGCTTTCACTTGTGGCTGAAACACGGTAGACTTGTTTTTAGCTGTCTGTCTGAACATTATGAAATTACTGGATTTCGAAGCAGCAGGGCAGTTTTTTCTTTTTTTTTTTTTTTTGCTATATCTTTTGGACTTTAAGTTGGACAGAGGCCCTGCTTTGCACCCACATTTCCCTGTAGAGTAAACAGATTGGTATGGTTGAGCAGGTATACATTTTATTTATTCACCAACTTGCAGCAGACTTGGTCATTTGGGGCCAAATTTTACAGATCTAGGTGGTCACCAAAACACCCACAACTTCACTAAACCTCTCTCTTTCCAGGCGCAGATACATATTGATCCTTTTGCATGTACACTTGGATTCTTAGATGAGGAGTTTTTTTTTTTACCCCCCCCATTCCCGGACCTCTATTTCTAGACTACTATTTATAGCCTGCAAATGTATTTTGCTACAATGGATCTCCCCATCACCTCCAGTCTTTGAGAAGTGGAGAGAGGAAGTTAATTCCACCCTGCTTAAGGAATGTCAAATTGTGCTCCATCAAGTTACACCATACAAATTCAATAAGCTGAGGGGTCCATGGTGTCACGGTCGCCCGATCGCCACCACCAACATGCGACAATCGCACGACCGCGACCAACAATAATACGTCACGCCCGCGGTGTCAGACCCCAGACCTTCTCACCAAACTCGTGACCAAAGGACCGGCCGATCTAAAACCGCGACATGACGCGCGTAACAATGCCACACTCAGCTTCGCCCTGCACAACGATTGTCCAGCTAATGGAACACAATCGACGCACTGGCAGCCTGAATGCGCTTGTTACTGGGTCGGGTTAATCACGCAACTAACCCTTCACTGCCACCACCCCTTTTTGTACAGAGAAAGGGGAAACTCTTTATCAAATATACACTGTAATGGTTGAAAAGTCGCCTGCCCAATACGGTCACTGCAGGCCTATTGGGCAGAGGATTAAACAAACACAGTAGCGTCTCTTCAAAAGGCAGGAATTCGTGAATTGCAAGTAAGCGCTTAGAAACAGTTTAACACTTTCAGAAAGAAAGATTTGTTACTAAAAGAGTCAAACAGGTGCAATAAAATATTTACAAAGAAAATGTAACTAGATATATATATTTATATATAAAAATAGCATATCACAGCCAAGAGATAACAGGAAGAAGTTAAAAGGTTAAGTTACTTGCCATGTTAAGCCTTAAGGTAAGCAGATCCAAGTTGCAGAGCGGAAAGGGTCTTTGATCTCCTGCTGTTACGATGTTAAAATTAGGAGATCTCTTCAGCTTAAATCTTTAGGCTTGCCAGCCTGTCTTTTAAAGTCCCCCTGCAGGGGGGGGGTGGCTCTGAAAACTGGCCAATACGCTGTTTTGGGAGGGGTCAGTCGGGCGAACTCTGAATTAGAACCAACATTTGTCATAATCCATGACATGAAACATAGGGGAAAAAACCTGACTTGAGGAATGTTCATTTCTTTCTGTCACCTTTAACTGTTAGGTTTTATGAGGTTACAATCTCTTTCAATTCCTGGGAGAAGCTGCCTTATCTGTTTTATGATGTGTGAGCCTACACAGGTTCTTAGATGGAGAGGTTCTGCCTCCATGGGGGAGCTTTGTAGTGCTGGGCCCCCTGCTGCTCCAGCCTGCCTGCAACTTTTAACACACATCTGTCCCTGTGTCTCTCAGGAACGGAGGGGGAAGGAGAAAAAAGGATTGAGGCATACTTCTAATAAAAAAGGGGAACTCCGCGTCCAACTCTGATGAGCAAGTTTGCTACACATGGCTACAAGTACTGGGACTAGCCCCCTTTTCTCTGCTGTCTTTACAAAATTTTCAATGCTAATGGTTTATGATGGTATGGGTGTTTTGGAACCTGTACCTTCCTAGAGGTGGCCACTGATGAATGCTATAAACACCTGATAGGGGGAGTCAATAAATAGACGTGTGCTTACAGAAAACGTGAGACGTGACAGGGCTTACACAAGTTGGTTTATTTCTCATACCATTACATTGTGTGTTACTTTATGCACTATCACACCTTTATAAGCATTGCCATCATTTCGGTATATGCTTTGAGGTTGTGATAAGAATCTCCCATGGTTGTGTGTTACCTCAAATGTTGGTTTGTACCTTTTTTTTTTTTTTTTTTTTTTTTTTTTTTTTTTTTGTTCTATTTGAATACAGTGCTAGATACTATGCTGACCTGGCACAAACGTTTATTCGCTGCTGTATATCATATTCTGCTTGATGCTTTTGTATTGTGTTCTGTTCTTTTTCAATTTTTGTAAACTTTTGAATAAAGATTATTCGGGAAAAAAAAAAACCTCTCTAACTACGACATCTATTATCTTGATAGAACAATATCTTATTGAACAACTAGTAGGTGGAAAAGGTGCTTGGGAATGCTCTTATAAGTGTAAAGTCACCGCACACTATTTGTGGTAAATTCAGAGACTATGATTTTGCCACAAATGGTGTGCAGTGACTTTACACTTATAAGAGCAATCCCAAGCACTCAATGTAGATTTTTGGGCCGAGTTTTGCATTACATCACTCCTGGTGTTGTTCTTTGCAGAGCTGCTGGGTTGCCACAAAGCATGAAGAGACTATCCTTACAAGTTGGTTAATGTTCTGGTAGAGTTGCTGGGTGGTCACATGGACTATAGCTTACTGTTTTAGAATATATAGCATATTGTTACATTTTAGCACCTGAACTATATGGTTTATGATAGGTGTAAATGCTAAGCCTGACAAATGCCACCCCAACAGATATACTCCATCTTTGTGACAACATTTGGAACTGTGAGTGCACAAATGTAGAACTAAAGAGAATCAGTGGTATTGGCCATAGGGAACCTTGTTCTTGGTAATGGTCAACAATCCTTCATTTGCTCAAGGTCAGACCCCCCCCCCTCCCCCCATCATTTTTTCTTCAGAACTCTGTGATGTTTAATAACCATTTACACTTACTCCCTTGTCTTTGAAAATTCTAGGACAAAAATGTGAGGCCCTACAAACACTAAACAGCCACTTGGAGGACGTTCTGAGAGAGAAACGTAGTCTGAGACAAAGGCTGGCTAAACCATTGTGCCAGGAAAATTTGCCCATTGAAGCATCAAACCACAGGTAATGTACCACCAGCATTATAATGAAGGCACAATTTTCATACCTACCTCCAATGCCTTCATACTGTCTATTCCATTTCCTTGTATTTTACTCTGCCAAAAATAACAAATGTTGCAGTATATGTACTATGTAAAACAACTACTTATAGCTTTTACTTCTACATGTATAAAAGTATTCATACCTGTCCAGATATGAAGATATTTGGAAGGCATAATATAAGCAGAATAAACTTCAGCTTTAAAGTGTATCTAGACAAAATTGTGTGTGTTATTAATTTTTTGATAGGGTAATGATTGGTTGGACACAATGGGGTTGATTTGCTAAAACTGGAGAGTGCAGCTGTGCATGGTAGCCAATCAGCTTCTAACTTCAGCTTGTTCAATTAAAAGACAAGCTCACCTTCGGGAATATGTTACATGTTCTACCCGTTTTTAGGTTGGAACACGTAACATGTCCCCACTCCTGCAGCAGCTCCCCAATCCACTGCCTCCCTGTGACAGGAGCTGGGGATCTTCTCCCCAAACTCACTGTCACTATTTAAAAAAAAATAAACAGCCATGTGGGGCTCTGTCCACTTGGCCGCATCATTCATTCACAGAGTTCTGTGAATGGGGAAACCTTTGCTGCTGCTGCTGCTGCTGCTGCTGCTGCTGCTGCTGCCGCCGGCTTGTAGTTTTCAGTTAACTCTCTGGTAGTCCATTGATTCTTCCTGGTTTTGTGTAACTGCCTGCCCATACTAGGTACGAGCAGACAGCTTACACTGACAGTCTGCAGGAGTCCTGCATTACACCCATGATCTGTTGATCCCAGGTGCATTGCTTTGCAGGCTCCTATTTAAAAAAAATAAATGCACTTTTTTTTTTTTTTTTTTTTTTTTTTACCCGCAAAAAGATGTGCATTTATTATTTTTTTTCAAAGGTGAACTTGTCCTTTGAGTGTTGACTAAAAAAAAAAAAAAAACTGAAAGCTTATTCTATGCAGAGCTGCACCAGATTTTTTTCACTCTCCACTTTTGGTAAATCAACCCCAATGTCTTTTTTTTTTTTTTTTTTTTTTCTCTGTCCTGTTTGGGAGATTTTCCTTCTTTTCAACTGTCACCTGAACAGACATCACCATTATAAGGTTTTCCATAACCTCCTGTTATAGTGAAAACTATAAAATATTGAATTTCTCATCACTTTCTATGCTAATGACAAAGGTCACCAGAACAATTAGTGAGGGTGAATCTCCCCCCCATGGAGATGCAAACCGCAGTAAAAAAACTTGACGCATTCCATCCAATACTAAAAATACAGTTTATTGGGAAGAGATGCACTCTCATTTTAGCTTTATTAATATTCTACTTAAAACTTTGTTATTAAAACCTCTTTTATATATAAACCTGTTTATAAAAAAATGATAGTCATGTAAAAAAACTGAGTACATCCCTTGGAATCTATTGACATTTTCATCATATTTGACCAGGCAAATATAATTGTGCCTACAGGTAGAGGTGATTATGTTATTATATATACCATATGTTATTTATAGTGATCCTTCTAAAGGAAACCTATACAGAGACGAGTACACTCACCGGCCACTTTACAGTATACAGTACACCTTGCTAGTGCCTGGAAATTATCCCCCACACCATTACACCACCAGCCTGAACCGTTGATACAAGGCTGGATGGATCCATGCTTTCATGTTGTTTACACCAAATTCTGACCCTACCATCTGAATGTTGCAGAAACCAGTCTGCCCATTCTCCTCTGACATCAACAGTGCATTTTTGTCCACACAACTGCCGCTCACTGAATATTTTTCTCTCTTTTTTGGACCATTCTCTGTAAACCCTAGAGATGGTTGTACATGAAACTCCCAGTAAATTAGCAGTTTTTTAAATACTCAGAACAGCCCATCTGGCACCAACAACCATGCCATGTTCAAAATCACTTAAATCCTCTTTTCTTCCCTATTCTGATGCTCGGTTTGAACTTCAGCAAGTCATCTTCACCAAATCTAGATACCTAAATGAGTTGCTGCAATGTGATTGGCTGATTAACAATTTTTGTTACCAAGCAATTGAACAGATGGACTTTATAAAGTGGCCAGTGAGTGTGTGTAAGCGCTGTTTTTTGACCTGTCCTTTGTAGAATGTTTGTTACTTGGCTGTCTTTATTACATTGAGTTACTAACCAGTAAAGCTCCTAATCTGCATACTTGTTCCAGGTCAGTGACTCTTGGAAATGATAGCTAGGCAAGTAGCATTTTAAGAAGGTAAGGACAGTTTTGGCAGCCCTCATACCTCCTGAGTATAGGTTAATTATAATCAATGCTAAACAATGTGAGAATGGACTCATTTGTTAGCTGGCATTATTACATCTTTTCCTGTATATGAGATGTGGCAAGAGATATTTCTGTATCTCCCACAGTATGTTGGCAGCATGGAGGGACTTGTATAGCATCACAAGATCTACACGTGTATAAATACATAATAATACATGGTTGCATGGTTTAGGAGACATTTCAGATGCATGCAGGGGATGAGCAACATTAAAGCAAACCTTGTGAGCAATAGTGGAACTCATGACTTAATGTGCTTGTCCTCAATTGTTATATACAATAAAAAACATCCATTGGTCATGGGTCTTTATATGAGGCAGATCACATACTTTATTATTATTATACAGGATTTATATAGTGCAGTTTGCTCAGCGCTTTACAATATAATGGGAGACAATACAGCAACAATACAGTTCAATACAAGAGGGAAAGGAGGGCCCTGCTCCTTGGAGCTTACAATCTAAGCGTTCATACAAAACAGAATAAGGTTGGTACTTATAATGACAAGTTTTATTGTTTAATATTAGACACAATAAAGTCTTTTTATACCTATGATTGCAGATTGCATTTCACAATAAATAGACACAAAAACTAAAAAAGGGGGGATAATGGGCTGATTCTTGATGTGCTAAATAGACATTATATCAACATATATGCATAGCTGATCATAATTTTCAAATTCATAATGTTATTTAAACATGATTATATGACACATTGCAACCAAAAAATTAATTGCATCCCAGAACTCGATGCGTTTTTGTGGGTCACTGTCCACTTCCTCAGGAGTAGATGCAAGATAAGTGTCTATAAAAGTAAATAAATAACATAATGATAGTGTCCATATAGATAGGTGAAAATTCTCCCAAAAGGGAGGGGCAGATATCCTTAATACCTACAGAACAGCTCAGGAAAAATACCCAGCAGCCTAAGGGGCAGGAGAGATGCTAAGGGATGTCTGTCCCGGAGATGTCCCCTACTATCTTCTGCCCTTTAGGCTGCTGGGCTGTTTTGTAAGTATTAAGGATATCTGCCCCTCCTTTTGGGGAGCGGTTTCACTTATCTATTTGAGACCATCATATTTTTTTATTTAAAATTTTTTTTTTTATAGGCACTTATCTTACATCTACTCCTGAGGAAGTGGACAGCGATCCATGAAACATGTCGAGTTCTGGGATGCAATTAATTTTTTGGTTGCAATATGTCATATAATCATGTTTAAATAACATTATGAATATGAAAATTATGATCAGCTATGAATTTATGCCAATGTCTATTTAGCACATCATGAATCGGCTCATTATCCCCCCTTTTTGTAGTTGGAATTTTATTGTCTATCTATTGTGAACTGCAATCATGTGTATAAAAAGACTTTATTGTGTCTAGTTATTAAACAAAACTTGTCAGTGTGTGTTAGTGTGTTCAAAAAAAAAAAAGATTTTTTTATTTAGAGATGGAGGCATATCACTTATGGTGCTCAAGACCACAACTCTAATGTATAGCTGTCCTCTTTTTGTAGGTCCATTGCTTGTGTTTGTTCTCTATAGTGAAACTCATTAGCTAATATCTAAAGTGCATTTATAGCCAAAACTTTTTCTTTGGATGTTCGATAACACTGGGGACTGTCAGAACCAGTCTCAGGCTTTTATTGCTGTTTGTATCTCCATTGGGGGGGGGGGGGGGGGGGGATATATGTTCTCTGTTTGTCATTAGGACCATTGTTACTTAGGCAGAAAGTGATGAGAAGAGTTGTCACCAGAACAAGTAGTAAGGAGAAAACTTCTAGTAAGGACACTTGTTTAGTGACAACTGTCTGAAAGGGGAATTCCCCTCAATTTGAAGAGATTTATTCTTATTCCTGTTGTGTTGGGTTGTGTCTCCAGGAAGGTTAGGGAAAGGAAAATTTCCAAATAGGTTACGGACCTCAAAAAGTAAACTGACGGGTTATGATCCATCCCCACCACATCCATCAAAAAAGTGTTTTTGGCTATACATATACTTTATTATTGGTGGACTTATCTCTGCTATCTACAGGTAACATTTGTCAAACTTAACATGATTGTCATGACTTTAGAGGACCATTTTGACATTCTAGTGGCAGATCAGCAGTTCTGTAGGAAATCGATTTTGTCAAATGCCCCCGTTTATGTTGTATTATTATTTGGTGAACCCATTTTATTACAGTGTGGAATTATGTGTGAGATGTGAGCCATTTATCAAGTTTCACTGTATTCACTTCCTGTCTAGGTTTGCTGCTGCTCTTTTGCCCCTCGGTGTTAAATTCATTGAGAATTTAGAATTCTACATCCAGACCATCCGGAAAATTCCTGAGATACCAGACTGTGCTAAAAAATCTGGTGAGTGCAGCTTTAATTTTGTCCTGATATTACAGTAACCAATGTGGAGTGAAACACATGTGGCTGCCAGCTTCCTCTAATGCTGCTTCTTAGAGATTCTTGAAGTTTTCACTTTGAAGTAGCTGACTTTTACATTTGCAGCATGTAGCAGAGCAACAGACCTGAGCTGAGCTTCTTAAAGTAAACCTGTGCTGTGCTCATGCAGGCAAAGCAACACGTTTACTTATGTTCCTTCCTCCCCAGTAACAGATACATTTTTTTTTCCTCCTCTGCCCACTTCATTTGACCTTCAGGGGCAAACCTAGAACATCCAGGTATGGTGTTTCATACCCGTTGTCTCACACGTTTCTCCCACTGACAGTGTTGGTGATTGGCCCAGAACTGTCATATGGGGATAGAGAAAGAGTCCTCAGCTCTCTGTAAGAGAGTTCACCAGATAGGTTCTTGCTCATTTGATTTAGTTCAATTGTATTTTTATGCTATCTTTATTTGCTTTGGGTTGTTTTTTTTCTAATAGCAATAACCCCAGCCACACTCAAGGCGGTGGGCTTGTTAACCAGGCATGTGGGCTAATATGTTTAATAAGATGGCCATTCTACAGACCCCTCTTATCAGATGGCAGCATTTATCATCAGCATAACCAGGCTGTTGTAAGAGACCAAAAAGCAGTGTGATCCTCTTTCCCCTAAAACACCAGTGTAGTGCTGAAGAGCACAACTTTCCAGCTGAGAAAGCAAGTGAATCTCTCAGATAACTACTGTAGTGAACCAGGGTGTGCGATTCTGGGAGATTTACCTCTTCTTCCCCCTCCTCTCTGTTTCCTTTTTTCCTCTCTAGTTATTTCTTCTCTACCTTCTTACACTAATGCCTTCTTTACAACATTCACTGTTAATCACAATAATCTTTATGATCTCCTATTGCGGCCCACAATTTTGGAATATGTGCTAGATTCCTTATCTCATGTTATCTGACCAAGCACACTTTTTCTGTATATCCTTGCCTAATGCATTGGATTGCCTTTAGCAATGCATTGTATGTACAATTTTATTCCTTTTCCTAAAAATTAATAAAAATATGGAACAACAACAAGTTAGTGTACACCTTTTTCCCTCCATGGTGTTTTTCATTTTAGCTTTGGGATCAGCATAGAGCTATTGAATCCAGGAAATAAAGGGGGTTCCCAACTTAAATTTATGTAGCACCGCCCAGAAGTATTTGCAATCGATGTTGTTAAAGGCTTGGGCAGCATCGGTGGGAAAACACAGCACATTTTGCCTGGATTATCCACTGGGAGTTTAATATTCAGGAACAATCTCTGTATATTAACCAATTCCATACCGGGCAATTTTACACCTTCCTGCCCAGGCCATTTTTCAGGTTTCAGCGCTCGCACACTTTGAATGACAATTGTGCGGTCATACAACATTGTACCAAAACTAAAATTTTATCATTTTCTTCACACAACTAGAGCTTTCTTTTGGTGGTATTTAATCACCACTGAGGTTTTTATTTTTTGCTAAATTAATAAAAAAAAGACCAAAACCTTTGAAAAAAAAACACACACGTTTTTCTTTGTTTCTGTTATAAAAGTTATATAAATAATTATATTATATAAATAATTGTTCTTCATAAATTTAGGCCGAGATGTATTCTACTACATGTCTTTGGTGAAAATAACCCAAATTAGGATGTATTTTTTTAGTTTGTAGGAAAGTTATAGAGTTCACAAACTATTGTATAGATCTAAATATTGATCAATCCTGAAGTACTGACAGCCAATCTAATTTCTTGAGGTCCAAGAATGTCAGAACAGTACAGATATCCCCTAATTGACCCCTTTTTGCAAAGTAGACAGTCCGACGTACTTCATAAGAGGCATGGCGAGTTTTTTGAAGTTGTATTTTTTTGTCATAATTTTTCGGAAAATTAAAAAATTAAAAAAATTAGTTTCACTATTTTTTTTTACAAACTGTCACCAGTGCAGTACAGCGTCATCATATAACTGGCATGGCGGTGATCAGGGACACTGACTGGTGACAGTATGAAAAAAAAAAAAATATATATATATATATATATATATATTTTTTTTTTTTTAATTAAATTTTCACTATTTTTTTTTTTTTACATACTGTCACCAGTGCAGTACAGCGTCATCATATAACTGGCATGGCAGTTAACAGGGACACTGACTGGTTACAGTATGAAAAAAAAAAATATATATATATATATATTTTTTTATTATATTTAATTTTTTATTACATTTTTTTTATTTTTTTTTATGATTTTTTTTCATATTTCCATAGTAACATTGTACTACTTTGGGGAAGTGATCAGTATTTTTTTTTTTACTTTTTGCTTATAGCAAAGAATTACATCGATTCGTTCAGGGGTTTTTTTTTTTTTTTGTGCTTAGCTGTGATTTGGCCACAGCTAATCACATGACATGTGCATGTGATTAGCTGTGACCATTCACAGCTAGACACTAGTATACAATGGATGGCATGAATGAAGCCATCCATTGTATACAACTGTCATGTGACCTGCTGTGATTGGTCACAGCAGGTCACATGGTACCAGCAACGGGGGCAGATACTCAGATCTGTCATCGGCCGTGTCCGAGGTACACGGCCGCTGACAGATCGCGCGGCTCTGCAGGAGCGCAATCTGCGCATGTGCGGGAGGACGCCATATGGTGTCCACCCGGAATGCTGATGACATTTGCCGGCCGCCATTCGGCCATAGGGCGGGCGGCAAATGGTTAAGAGTGATAGATCTGGTCGGGATAAAACCAGACTGATTGGAGTGTATCAGCCCTGGAAATAACCTTCCCCAGTCTCGTAGCAAGCACCCTAGCAAGTAGCTTAACATCGGTATTTAGCAAGGAGATCTGCCTATAGGAGTTGGGCTGCAATGGATCTTTGCTGGCGTAAGAATTACCACTATAATGGCCTCATTCATGGAGGAGGGCAAACGAACAGCTTGAACAGCAGAAATTCAGTGTATTTATGAGAGGAGGTAAAAAGTATTCATTATATCTTTTATATAGCTCCTCTAGGAGACCATCGATGCCTGGGAATTTACTATTAGCCACTTTTGCAGCTGCTAAATAAAGTTCCTCTAGTGTTATGGGTGCCCTCCATGGTGTTTAATAATCCAGTTACTTTTATGGTTAAAGGAACTCATATGGATACTAATGTGTCCACCTTCTTCTCAGGACACGGCTTTGGTGAGGATGGAATCTATCGAGGCTGATTTAGAGGAACTGTCTGAGCAGATCTTAACTTGGAGAGAAAAACAGATTAACCTTCTCCAAGGCAACTTCCCAGGCAACACACAAGCAAGTTCCAGCAGTATAAAAGAATCAACTTCTTATTTATCAATTGAAAACCTGCACCACTAATAGTCCAGGTTCTCAGTATGTAAAGTATATGTATGAATGTTAAGCATGCAGCCTTATTTAAAGTCTTAACCATTTTTTTTTAGTGAGAAAAGGTTGGAATTTCTTTCAGATGTTATTACTGTCTATGCTTCCCCATCAAGGAGATGACACCAGGACAGGGGATACAGACAAAGGGACCACTGAGACAAGAAAACACAGACAGACATTGATATATCACAAAATTTCTTCAGCCTTTTCTACTAAAAAATGTTTTATTAATTAATTTGTCCTCTGTGGAGAAATTCCCCATCATTTGCTGGTCTTCTGATCCCTTGTCATAATGGACAGGAACTCAGGAAGTTCTCCCCTAAGGAAACTGACAAGGCCAGGGGTCTAACCCTTCCAGGCCAGGGGTCTAACCCTTCCAGGCCAGGGGTCCAACCCTTCCAACTTGTGGTTGGAGTTGGGATTTAATAAGGCAGTAATGATGTGCAAAAGTGCATTAACCTATAAACATCCTATTAGATTTCAGTATACTTTCAATTAGTGAAATATACATTTTGATTGGTTACCACGGATTGATGATCTTTGCACATTGCTCTTTGCCTTAATAAATAAGATGACTAGTGGTCTACATTACACATCCATTATCAGGAAATCTGTAAGAGCCATGCATTCAAAACCTGTGTATTTATTAGACTTCCTGTTTGTATTTTTGTATATACATGTTTAACAATAAATTTTGAAACTTTACGAATACCCAGAGGCTCTTTTCTGGTTTAGTATTTTCTTTATTTGTATGTTAACAGGAAAGTGTGAGAGTCAGAATACCAAAAAACATCAAAGTATGACAATTTTGTATTGTAGCCAGGTAGACACCAATATCATTCATTTATTATGAACTGTTGACTTTTTCACAATTGAAAATGGCAGGTCAGTGGCCCTTTTTAAACGGGCTTATAATTGGCACTCAAATATTGCTATCAATAAAGAAAAATGTTTTCAGTGAATTTTAGATATGCATGTAAAAAAGATCAGCTTGATATGACATGTTATCGTTAATCGTTTTTTGTGTGTGCATGTATTTTTTTTTACTGTGATTTGTTTAATGTTGTTATTACGTATGCACGTGGGTGCAGCCATATTTGCTCATTATGCTCAAATTTTGTCTGATTCCTTCTGAACTGGATGGAATGAGGCATGGCCCTGTCAGCACCAGTAGATTTTGATTGGGTCCTAAGGCTGCGACTCCCTCTCCCAGTCTGAGAACTGTTGTTAAGGGAATCAGAGGAGGCCCACAACAAGACAATACATTTATTTTAATTTTTTAATATACATAACTGTATTAATTTGTTTTATTACTGTATATTGCACGGGGTTCAGTTGTAACACCTTTTGATAAGGATGGACTTAGGGGAAACCAGTAGGGATAGAAATATGGGAGCTGCTATAACCCTTTTTTTTAGACTGCATGTTCCTGGGCCTTTATCCTCATCTTTCCTTCCTTGCCATGTGAATCGCTGTTCTAGACAGAACAGGAATTCAGACTTTACTTGCTACATGCTTGTACCAGATTGGTAAATCACAAAATAATTAACCACTTCCATACTGGGCACTTTTACCCCCTTCCTGCCCAGGCCATTTTTCAGGTATGAGCGCTCTCACACTTTGAATGACAATTGTGCGGTCATACAACATTGTACCCAAACAAAAATTTTATTATTTTCTTCACACAACTAGAACTTTCTTTTGGTGGTATTTAATCCCCACTGGGGTTTTTATTTTTTGCTAAATTAACAAAAAAAACACAGAAAATTTTGAGAAAAAAAACATGTTTTTCTTTGTTATAAAAGTTTGCAAATAAAAAAATTGTTCTTCATACATTTAGGCCAAGATGTATTGTGCTACATGTCTTTGGTGAAAATAACCCAAATCAGTATTTATTATTTAGTCTGTAGGAAAGTTATAGAGTTCACAAACTATGGGATATATCTTAATATTGATCAATCCTGAAGTACTGACGGCCAATCTAATTTCTTGAGGTCCAAGAATGTCAGAACAGTACAGATATCCCCCAAATGACCCCTTTTTGCAAAGTAGACAGTACGACGTATTTCATAGGAGGCATGGTGAGTTTTTTGAAGTTGTAATTTTTTTTTTGTCATTTTTCGGAAAAATATCATCATCATATAACTGGCATGGCGGTGATCAGGGACACTGACTGGTGACAGTATGAAAAAAAAAAAATTATAATTTTTTTACATTTTATTTTTTTATTAGTTTTAATTTTTTATTACATTTATTTTTCTTTCTTTTAAGATTTTTTTTCATATTTCACTATGACCAAAATAGTACATTGTACTACTTTGGGGAAGTGATCAGTATTTTTTTTTTTTTTTTACACAATTTGCTTATAGCAAATAGTTACTTTGCTATAAGCAAGCATTTACCTGAATGACATCGATTCATTCAGGGGTTTTTTTTTTGTGCTTAGCTGTGATTTGGCCACGGCTAATCACATGACACAGCTGGGCTGTGATTGGCCAAGCTTGTGCATGTGATCGCTGTGACCATTCACAGCTAGACACACTAGTACACAGTGGATGGCATGAAAGGAAGCCATCCATTGTATACAACTGTCATGTGACCTGCTGTGATTGGTCACAGAAGGTCACATGGTACCGGCAACCGGGCCAGTACTCAGATCTGTCATCGGCCGTGTCCGAGGTACGCGGCCGGTGGCAGATCGTGCTGCTGTGCAGCTCTGCGGGCATACAAACTGCGCATGCCTGAAAGGACACCATATGGTGTCCACCCAGAGGGACGAGGGGTTTTGCAGGCCACCATCTGGCTATAGGCTGGGCGGGAACCTGTTAAAATAGGATCAAAATGTCATCCCCAAATCCTATATGTAAACTATTGCAGCTCCCTTGTAACCGCCCTTACAGACTAATCTGTAATTTTAAAGCCAATATACAATTTGTCTAAATAACCAAAATATATTCCAGGTTCATTTAAACAAAAGATGTACAATGTCATAAAATATGTGTTTTTTTTTTTTTTTTTTTTTTTCATTTTAGACAAATGCCACAGCCCAAATATAAAAACTTGTCCATTGTCTGCATGCTGTAGAAAAGGACCCTTGTCTCTGTGTGTAAGCAGTGGACTCTCTGCAGAGGTCTGATCTTGAGCTTTCCAGTCAGTGATAAGCATTGCTAAGCTTTGCTAATCACTGAGCTAAAGGTTTGATTTGATAAGGCAGGGGGCATGTTAGACATCCGATAGAACACTGCTTCCAAGTGGAGAACAAGTGCCTTACTCTGCAGCATACTGGCAGGGGATAGGCTTTTCTACTCAGGCTAAGGATGCTTTCTAGAAAAAAAAAAAATAACTGTAAACTTGGCCATACATAGCTCCATTTTGTACAGCCAGCCAGCTGAATGAAAACGACTGAACCGATTTCCCAATCTACACATTTGAGGTGGATGGGGAAATCCCTTACTGTGTCATTGTATTCTGACAGTGGGACTCCCCCCACCATCAGAATACACTGATCAACGTTGCAGCCGATTGGCTACATGCACTGATTGAGCGAGACTATACCAACAAACCTATTCATGAAAAGTCAATCGATAGATCAACTTCTCAGTAACAGGAATGGCCATATGTGGATCAAAATTCAGGGAGGGTCCTGCTGAACCGGATGAATTTTGATCCATGTATAGCCAGCTTAACAAACACCTTTTTGTTTTGATGTGTCTGGATTCTATTTAGCTGAATTAAATTGACAGTCAAATTGGGCTTTAACTCAATCATGATTTATGAAAAAACTATATATGTTTCTTTTATGATAGTGTTGTGTCTGTGTCTCTCCTCTTAAGGGGCCTACAGAGCAGTGCTTTCATCCTGGGGTTATTCTCCGCTTGGGCCGAAGCATTCTTATGTCTTGTCTTTCCTACTGCAGCACTTGATGCTTTGGCTGTATTTGGGCATGAACTCACACTTTGATGAGATATTGATCTTGAATCATTTTCCATTAGTGCCTGAAAATAAAGTTACTTTTTAGGAAAAGACTAAAAACAAAATAGAAACCCTGTGCAGAAGTAAAATTCTGCTCAAAAGAAAACAAAAAAAAAAAAGCAGTTCTAAGTCATAACACAATTCTCTTGTAAATGTGTAGTTTCTATCTGTATATTTAATCATGAACAATTCTGGGTAACATGTAATTGGTAAGTAGCTGCTGATGCTGTCAGGGAAATACTTCAACTGTGCTGTATTAAAGCTGGACTCCAGGTTTCATTTAATTTTTTAAAATGTTTACTTGGACCAAGCTGGTCCAAATGAACAATTTCCTTCACTAATACATAAAATGTGCCCACTGTAAGCACTGTATATACTGTATGTAGCATCAGCTAACAGAATAGATTCAGCTGCGCAAATTCCCCACTTTCATGATGTGCAAAGCTACAGACACTTTTTTAGGACATCAACCCTTAATAAATTTAGATAACAAATATTGCACTAAGTGTGAAAGAAAAAAAAAATGTTAAAATAAACGAATTTAATTGTGTAAACAACTATCCATACACAATACAACATACAAAATGATACATATAAGTGATATCATATACGTTCCATGTAAGGACCAATACAGTGTTCAAAGTCTGCATGAATGACAGCTTCCACAAACACTTCGTAAAAAAAGACATGCTTTCTTGAGTACAATATTATTGATATTCATCTTTTCATCCAATAAAATCACCAGTGTGAACGGACCACCACCCTAAGTGTAAAGTGGAGGCTTACCAAATGAGAAGACCCCTTTAAGGGGTCTTATAAGGCTCTATATAGATGTAACTCTGTCTGAACTTCTATATCGTAACCCGGACCCAGATTCCACTTAGGTCAGTAAGCCATTCTCATAGCGGTAACTGGACAGTGTCGTGTAAAATAAAACATGACTCTCATAGTGCAATAAAAACTAATGTGCCTTTATTGCGCAAATAAAATCCTACTTGCAA